CCCATCATTTATGCTTTTGTGGGAGAGAAGTTTATGAGACGAGCCTTGCAGCTGCTGAAAAAGTTGATGCCTGGTTACAGCAGAGATCTGACAGACAGCTCATTCAGGAGGAGCTCAGTTATGTCCAGGGGCTCTGAAGTCACCTCTGCTTCTTTTAAACTATAGAAGGTGGAGGGCAGTTGTAATTGTTTTTGGCATGAATGTTTTAGTGTTCAGTTTCAGTGTTTTTCCTGTTAGTTTTGTTTGTTTGTCACTTTGCCACATAGCACCAGTGTTTTTCACCAGTGTCTCTCCTTTAAAGTTTGTCTGTACACCTTTAGATCCTGCTAATGTTGTTATGGCCATAAGATTTCAAATGTGTTATAAATGACTGTGAAAAGTGGTTTATTCAAAAGTATGGCATTCTGAAGTTGGGAATTTGATGTTAAAGAAACTTTCCAGTGTCGATTTTTTTCTCACTTTTTAAATTTATATATAATATACAGTGGTCTGACCTACTTTTACTACTTTTTACTTTTACATTGTAAATAAATTCTTTTCTTTTGCCTCAATAACTTCGACTCCCATTTCAGATGGGTTTTTGTTTTTGCTCTTTTTTTTACTCTGCGTGCATGCACACTGTACTGTTTTCCAGGTATTGATCTTATGCACACTTCTGTTTTGTATGACACTTGTACCTGTACTTGGACTGTTCATGAATCAAGGCTGGCATCCACTTAGCTCTTGTCTTCATTTTGTATCAGAAAATTTTGTATTTTGTATCAGAATTTTCTTAAATCAAAACATTTTACTGCAGATCTTGAATTTACTCAAAATAAAAATCACACTGGGTTCTTAATTGACCCTGTGACATCGGGGATGTACATTGAAGAGCAGCTTGAAGTGGTCACATTCATTCTATATGCTTTTATCTCAAGTTAAGCAAATTTCAGTTCCTACAATATTTAACTGAGAAAATTCTGCATCCAATCATGAAGTGTGAAATGATCAAATTCATTTGTCCCAGATTAATTTATTAGACAAGTAATTGTTCACTATCATGAAAGCTTTGTAGTTACTGATGAGCTTCTATTAACACAGAATCAAATTATTTTCATTTGAATACATTTTCCCTTTCCTATTTAAATCTAATGATCACGCACGAAGGGACAATTGTTGAAAACGTACACAAACAACTTTGTGTGAGAGAAATGAAGTTGCAGGGAAGCACAAGTACACATATTTGCATAAACCTACCTTATACTTTTAGCTTATCCTACCTTATACATTTCACTTCAGCAAGAGAAAGACTTTTAATTTTTTTATCCCGTGCATTGACACAACACTGCAAGAGATAAACAGGTAACATAAGGCTCCGCAGGCTAGGCCCACTATGCTACCCAAGCCTGCCCTGGAAAATGAGCAAGAGACACATAGCTGAAACCTTACTGCCTCGGACGTCGCATCATGTGTTGAGGAACCAGGACACACTGATGAGAAGTGGGCTACTGAAGTATCAAGGCATAAGTGGACAAGCACTGAGAATAGATGTTGGAATGCTACTACACCCAATATATAAAGTAATGGCAAAATATCTGACAGCTATGTGTTTAAATATCCTTAATTGGCAACTGCTATCACAACTAGAGATTGATGAGTTACAACACAAATGATACGGCAAGGGGTGCTAGCATATCAGGTCAGGAGGGAGATATCATCACCCCACCCTCAAAGATTGGCCACCGAGCCCCAAGAACAATTAGTGCATTAAAGGCATTGAATACAAGAGCAGCTTACCTGAGAGACAGGCTCATAGCTAAGGTGGAAACCTGGACACTTCATGGTCGATTACCAAGATTACATTAAGTACACCTGAAAGTCTGCTAAAAGAGATGTGAATGTAGCATTTTGGACAATCCCTACTGCGACCAACACTGAAAACAAGCAGCTGAACGACACAATGGCAACAATGATCCTTGAGATGTTGGCTACAAGATGAACAGCCACATAGAGCAGTGCTCTTTATGAAAAAGAAAGAGATTGGAGGTAAAGATCAAGGCAGCACGGAGGGAGGTTAGCCAATTCTAAGAGTGGCTTATATGTGTGGCAGAAAGATGCAATAAAGAAAGGGATGTACTAAGAAGTGCAACTAGTTGCCAATAGCTCATGCCCTAGGAGCTCCCAAGCAAGACTCAAAGCATTGGCTAGCTGCTTGAAGAGGTACACCAGAGAGACAGAAGCCAGTAGAGAACCCAGATGTTCTCCACTGAACCATCGAAGATGCAATCCCAGTGGCACTTCACTCCATAAATGTTTGGCAGTCCAAATGAATGAGCTGCTAATGGATGAGAGCTAGCCAGAACGGCTAACGCCTATAATAACTCGAAAAACTGATGTACTATTAGCTTTCAGTGTAAACTAGACATTCATGAATAAATAACAAAAACATATAGGCTGTGTTCAGAAATCAAAGCTGGAAGGCTGCTGCACCTGTCCCTTTAAACAAGAGGTTTGTAAGTAGCACAGAAAGACCCAACTGGAGTAACTTGTTCTGTACACAACATGACAAGTGACAAACACGCTCTTTAGCTTCTGACTTTCTCTCTGAGATGTAACCTTACTTTTAAATGCATACATTTTTTCAGCGCAGTCTCATTTTCACAGTTCTGTTGCTAATCTTGACAATCTGTCTATTTTTGCATTGGCCAATTTGTGAAAAACACACAAAATATTGAGAGGAGGAGGGATTTTGTATTTTTTATGGGTCAGAGTAATTTTTCATGTTGTTTTTGAGTTAAAATCTCAAACATTTTTTTTTGATTATAGAAATGCACTTATTAACAAGCTGAAGGTAATAGCTTTCTTTATTCAGTTTTTCATTGTGATGCTAAAACCATGTGTTAGCTAGGTAAAAATGCTTATCAAGAGGTCAGCTTATGTGACAACCAGGCCCCTGAGAATGAGAAATGGTTTTACAGTTATGTGTTTTTGTTCCTTTGTTGGATAAGCAGCTTGTATTAAGCCATATAGCAATAGCTGGCCCACGAAGCAGGGCTTCAATGTGTTGTCTGCAAAAACTGATCACTCAAAGATTATATCTCTGACAATCCGGTATGCATATTTGTCATAAATGAGTTGTGTGACTAATGCACAGGTTTGCTAGATAAAGACTAGCAAGCTTAAAAAATAGGCTGCCTTTCCTTATCTGGATGATCTAGCATGCATCAAGATTTTTACACTGACTTGCTCGCTGTTGCTCAGGTTATCATGCATAAAAACAATTTGTCTTTTAAAAGATACTTTTGGCCTTTTTGAAATTATATCAATGATACATCAGTACAAAATGTAGTCATGGTGGAGTGTGCCGATTGTTCTCAGTTATTTTTGTGATTTTTAATGAAGGTTACATTATTAAAGCACTTGTATTTAAACGAGGCAGTGTTTATTTCTATACTTGTTTATGTCTCTATCTGAAAAAAATATAGAATAAAATAAAGCCTTTTTTTTTAACATAAACAGGGATAACCACCCCCATACTGTGTGACAAACAGCCCCATGATGGAATTGGTTGTCACAAAGTGTTAGAGTGTGGTAATTACTTTCTGTTACAGTTAATTGCAAACATGATAAGCAGACCCATTTTGAGCCAACCTGAACCTTAAACTTCAACTTCATGAAGGAAATGGTATTTAAGGATGTTTCAACGATCAACAATTTTAGCAGTACTAAAATGTGGGCATACAGATGTTGGTCTATGCCAGACCTTCCCAAAGTGTGGGGCCCAGGGGCGCGGTATGAAAAGGGGGGGGGACAAAACGCTTGGACGCTGCTAGCATGGGGCGGCCACAGAAATGCAAAGCAGGAAATGAAGCATAACTGAATATGTTTCCAAACCAACTTCATTCTAAGCCAAAGACTAGAAAATATGGTGAAGCATATCTTCCCTTTGGTTTCACCTGCACAAGTGCCAACATTTTTCTTTTAAAACAAAGGGGGGCCTAGCAAAAAGGTTTGGGAACCACTGGTCTATGCTGTAAGTAAAGGCAGACAGTAGGAGGGAAGCAAACAGACATAAACTGCTAAGAAAACAAGTTGAAGGAGATAATATGTGCTGAAAACACAGAAACACACTCAGTACTCAATACTATAAATGGGCCTTTCTGCATTCCAAGGTTGTCCCTCAGAATTATGTTTTCCCACATAGGTCTAAATGTGTGCATGTGATAATTATAGCTTGATAGCTACAATTAGCTCCACTAGACACTAACAGGATGTCCTGTTTGTGAAGTAATTATCTGAGTTAGTGCACTGGGTTTTCAGTTCTTGTGGTTATTTTTGGTTATATTATGAAATATTTTCATACTTGCTTGCAGAGATGCCCTTCTTTATATTTTACCAGAGGTGCTATGTTTTTGTTTAACACACCAGTCTCCAATTTAAAAAAAAAAGCACTAACATTACCTAAGAGGACTGGTTACTTTGTGACTTCATGCATTCACCCGTCTGTTTTCCAGTTTTTCCATTTTGTTCTGTGGAATTTGGTGGTTTTGACCAAAAGAGGACTTTAGTTCCTCTTCACAAAGAGCTGCACAGCAGATTAGGCTCCAGAAAGACTTTAAATTCAACTTAAAGTTAAAATGTTGGCGATTTTATTTACTGTACTGTTTTGTGGCGGCACTGACACCGACAGAAGTTTGCAGTGACGAGGAAGATCTGTGGTCTCTCACAAAGAACGATGGAGAGGGAGAGAGATTATCCTAACCTATCACAAGAGGGTATTCAAACACAACACCCTCTCAAGTGTAAAATATCTGCACATGTCAGTAAAGCTGCAGTTAAAGTCTGTGTGCCGCTGTAGCCATCTCCTCAAACAAAATGGCTTAAAAACTCCAAGCTCGAAATTTCTATCCACCTGCTAAAAAAATACGATAGTTCCAACAAGTTACACTACAGATTTTTGTGTATGCTTTCCTACTATCAACCCGGAGAAGACATTGGAAATAAGACCCCCTTTCTTATTATTTGAGGGTGGAATATTTGCTGTAGAGTAAAAATTGTGGGATTGTTTAAAGAATTTCTCTGTATCTCCATTTTAGTGGTTGACTAGTTCACTGTAGCCTTATCAATTACTCAACTGGAAGGAATTTGGGAGATTTCTGAAAAAAAATTTAAGCAATACATTTATAAAAACTTGGAGAAAAAAAGTAGACAGAGTTATTTTAGCCATTTGATTTGCTGGAAGAACAGTGCCTCTATGACACCCAGTCTGAGAGGATATGGGTATTGAGGAATAACAACAAATAATAAAGAATTTAGATGACGGCAGCATATGTTGGGATGATTCAGTGTTTATAAAATCACATTATTAATAAACCGTTTAACGCTTTAAGCAAAGTCCAACAGTCGTTTTCTGAAGCTGTGTCCACATGTCCTGTCTTTCTCTTTAAAGGTTTATTGCTGTTTGGATGTCAAGCTATATCTTTAACAACAGAATCCTGATAAGGATCTCACTTAGGGCACATACACGAAACAACATGTGCACTTCTGTTTCTGTGGTCCTTATTATCGGACTGCAGACATCAAGACGGTTACTTCACCTCTGCATGTCTAGAGGCATCACGTCAGTAAAAGAGGGAAAAGGAAGCTTGAAGTGGAATTCCTGGCTGTACCTGGAAGAACCTTCACTGAGACATCACCATGGAAGGTGAATATATTTTAACAGCAATTCAGTATTCGGTTGTCTTTGAAAATTGTTTGCAAAAAGATACAAATTCTATGCATTGTCACAATGTCATTAAAGTTCATCTTAAGGCTTTTGTATTTTCCTGTCATTTAATGTCCTATCATTTAACTCATATGAACTAAATAAATTATAATAATTCAGGTTTAATTAACAGACCAAATCCTATTTTAGTGTAGCAGTGGTATCTTATGGATTGATGATGGTGGGAAATGAAGGGGTGAGAAACTTCCAAAAATATACCTGTGGGAAAATAAACCCTCATTTATCAATTATCTCTGAGGGGCCAAAATGCCAGGTAACGACAGTTCAGTCAATGATTATCAGTGGTTTTCTCAGAAAAGGAAAAATCACCTTAAAAATACACACAAAAGTAACCTTTGATCGGGCGACTACAGCCAGCACTTTCTTCTCCTTTCGCATCCCCAACAGTCAGCAGCAGGTGTATACAGTAGCAGTTGTGTTTGTGTTTCCTAATAAATAGGCTCTAATCCTGATGCATGTGTGTTGTATCGTAATTGTTGACATTTTAAAAGCTTTTCTCTCCCTTTGCAGGAGAGAACATCACAGAATACACCACAATGTATGATTACAGCACTTTTTTTACTGACGATGGAAACTACAATCCTATCAGCTACAGCGACGTAATGGACTTCATCAGAGTGTTTCTGGCCACTCTCTATAGTTTGGTTTTCATCCTGGGCTTCATAGGTAGGTGCGTCCTCTTGTGAGTATATTATGGGTGTTGGATTGTATTTAAATGATGTATGAAAGTGTGTGCATGTAAGAGAAAGAGAGATGATGTTGTTCAACGTGTAACAGTGTGACAAGTACACTTATTGTGTCTTTTCCCCCAAAGGTAACGGACTAGTGGTGTGTGTCCTGGTGAAGCATCGCAATCAGAGCAACCTGACAGACATCTGCCTCTTCAACCTGGCACTCTCTGACCTCCTCTTCGTCTTCACGCTGCCGTTCTACTCTCACTATGCCAGGGTCGGCCAGTGGACTTTTGGAGACTTCATGTGCCGTTTAGTCTCCGGCTCTCACCAGATTGGCTTCTTCAGCAGCATCTTCTACATGGTTGTTATGACGCTGGACCGCTACATGATCATCTTGCACGCTCACAGGGTTGCACGTTATCGTACAAAGAAGGCAGCCATCATTCTGACCGTGCTCGTTTGGATGCTGAGCTTGTTTGTGTCTCTGCCGGATTTTATCTTCACACAGGAAACAGAAGAGTACCAGAAGTTTGGATGTGACTATCCCGAGGAGAGCAAAATCTGGGCTCATTACAACCTGTTCACTATAAATGTACTGGGTCTTGTGATTCCTTTGTTGGTGATGGTAGGTTGCTACTCCAGGATCATTCCCACACTGGTGAGCATGAGGACCTCAAAGAAGCACCGCATCGTCAAGCTGATCATCTGCATAGTGGTTGCATTTTTCTTGCTCTGGGCTCCATTTAACATTTCTCGTTTCTTGAAGTTTCTTCAGGAAAAAGGAAAAATCCCACATGATGAAACTTGGGAGAAAAATTTAATGAAATCAATAATAGTGACCCAGGCCTTAGCTTACGCTCACTGCTGCCTGAACCCCATCATATATGCTTTTGTGGGAGAGAAGTTTATGAGACGAGCCTTGCAGCTGCTGAAAAAGTTTGTGCCTGGTTACAGCAGAGATGTGGCAGACAGGAGAAGCACAGTTATGTCCAGATCCACTGAAGTCACCTCCACTTACATCTATGGAGGTCAGTTGTAGCCACAGTACTCTTCACCGGTGTCTTAGCTTCAAGGCCTGTCTGCACACGTTTAGACCATTTCAATGAGTATAACCTCTTAGCACTGCCTCCTCCTTACAGAATTTCAAGTCTTTTCTAAACTCTGTGTAATGCTTTTCCTTCGTCTGCTCAGGCCAAATGAAACTTGCTGTTCACGGCAGCCTGTAACAGTTTGCTTTCTTCTTTTATGTGTTTTTAATGAGCTGTGGAAAAAGTGTTTCATTCAAATGTATCGCGTTATGAAGTTAAGGTTTAGAAGCATAATTTCCACATTTCACATCATAATGGAATTTGATATGTTTATGTGGAACAAACTTTCCAGTGTTGCCAGATTTTATGCTCTCACTTTTGTATTTCTGTACATTATACGGTGTGCTGTTTTTCATTCTAAACATATTCTAAAATAAACTTTTTCTGATGTTTGTACAAAACCTGTACTTTCATTTATATATTTCAAGCTAATCTCTTTCTAAATTTCAAATATATGCAATTTCTCTTTCTTTTATAATTTCATGATTTCATGATGTATTTGTAAGTACCCTGCAAATGGAGAGATCAAAGTCTTTCATGTACTTATTTCTCATCTTGTTTCTGTGTAACTGTTTTCTTAGGACAATAAATGATACAGCACATCTTGAACTTGAAATGAAAGTCATACACTTGGTCATTGAGCATTCTTGTCAGATTCCAAAATTACATTTGAGATATGTACATTTGGTAAGACATGTTAGGTAGTTTCAGATCAATGTATTTATGGTTGCAGCCACCACTAAACACTAGCATGATTTATTTCAGGCAGGAACTGTGAGTAAGTTCAAGTAAAGTTGTGCAAACTAGGCTCAGTCATTCCTGATAAGCTGAATTTAGTTTTTAGAAATCAGATTATTAAGAGGTATATTTGAAAGGAATAAAAAGGAAACTCCTCATTTGAATATATTTTTCCCCTTTGTCTTTTCCCGCCTCATGTTAACGCATAAAGGGACATTTCTGAGAAAACCACACCAACACCTCTTTGCAGGTTTAACACAATGCGGAGGAAACAGCAAAACCCAGAGTTCACGTTACCAGAAATGAGCTCCGCTGCAGGATTTGACACAAAAAGCAAGCAATGCATATTGGCAGGATGACATGTAAGCTCGGCGCGCAGCACAAGAACATACACATTCAGGAGCAGTGATTTTGGCCAAAAGTGTGGTAAGCGTGTTCAAATTTTTGATTTCTAAACATTTAGTTTCAACTTACTAGACTTACTTCAGCTCATTCACCTCCTACACCCTTTAACCCACTGTGTAGTTGAGGAATATGCGTGTGTGTATGTGTGTGTGTGTCAGCGCGTAAACACTGTCACCCACAGGAAGTGAGGGTCGGCAACGGTAACAAGTCAGGTGGTTGTGCATCTGTTTATAGTGAAAGGAAAAATGTTTGACATGCGGTTTGAATAGATCACATCAATTTGATTATGGTCACGCCGGCAGGAAGTTTTGAGATATCTATGGATGTATAAGCATTCATCTACAGCCATTCATTATATTTACCCTGTACTTTGAAAACAGAAGTTAACCTTCTGGGTGGTTTTTACACATAAGCCTCTCTTACATGACTCACTAAATGATGATTCTATCAAAAATGTTCTACTGAAAGGGCAGGAAAGTCCAGTCCACTCTCTCAATTCCCTGTTTGAACTAATTTTTCCCTTTGAAGAATTTATCATCACTTTAAAATGTTCATTTGATGAGCAAACTGTTCATTCATCATGCTTGTGGGGAATAGTGTGTCTAATAAAGAGAAGAAATAAACAACATACTTCTTTTCTGTTTCTTGAAGACTGGCTTTAAAGACTTCTGATAGCTAAACTATGGAGGAAATTCTTATGTGACTTTCCACAAGAAAAATTAAATCAGGAGCCAAAAGGTGCCATCATAAAGTAAGTAGGCATTTTTTTTTACACATACATACATATTTATATGTAAAATATTCAGGTGCTTTGGCTTTAAAATAGAATGAGAACAGACTCAAGTTAATGTTTGGTAAGAAATTCAGTAACTACCACAAATGGCTTGTAGACATGTTCTGGCATAATATGGCACAAAAAACATAATCTTATAATGATCATAGATGTAAATGTACCTCTTTAAATTATCTGTGATATCTGTTAGACAGCAGAGTGACTGAAGAGTGCGTGGCACTGGGGAAAGGGAACACAAAAGGCATTTGAGGACAAAAACTGAATAGAGGAAGTTTTATGTCTTTTGGGCATTTCTCTCTATCTGTATTGCCACTTTTTAATCTTCTGATGGGCTGAAGAAAAAGGAGGAAAACACTAGAACACTTCATATGTGTGCATGTATGTCAGAGACTCACCCAAAACAATCCAGAACTGGGTTTGAAACTGAAAACATGATCAGACAGGTCCAGCTGCTTGAGTGGTTTGGCTGGTGCTTTTTAAAGCACTGAGCTGCACCTTTTTCAACACCAGACGAACTACTTTTATTTGATTTCCCAACAAGCTGATTTAACAGATTTGGTATTGTTGGTGCCAATTACATCTATATAGTAACAACGGGCAGCCTCCACATTGTTATTACTTGTGTATTGTTTACATCATTTAAATAACTTGAGATGAATATATTGACAATAGTTCAGGTAATAGTTTTTTTCTTTTTTTCTCTTTATGTAAAAGACCACAGTAGCTTTTAAACGTGATGGTGACATTCTCACCTTTTTGCATGACTGTTGTACTACATTGACCAAATTTCCTTTTCTGTCTCACAGCTGTACCACCATGTCAGATAACGGGACCTTAAACTACTCAGAAATGTATGACTATGATTACAATGATACCTGCAATCCGGATTCAAGTTCGGATTTCATTGGATCCATGGTCTTAACAGTGCTTTGCTATGTGCTGTTTTGTGTTGGTATTCTAGGTATGTATCTTTTTTTTTCCATACCAATTCTATGTAACACAGCATTTATAAACCAGCCCCTGATAAGGCTTTTTGAATACACAGACATAGCTTGTACGATAGCCCAAGACTCAACTCTGTATACTGAAGCACAGAACTCATCAATAAAGTCCATGCATGCATCAGACTTTCACATACGTTCTGTTCTAAGATTAATACCTGAATTTATTTCACAGGAAACAGCGCAGTCCTGTGGGTCCTCCTGCGACATGTTAAGCTCAGAACTATGACTGATGTATGTCTTCTCAACCTGACTCTGTCAGACCTCTTAGTGGCTGTATCACTGCCCCTCTGGGCCCACAGTTCCCAGAACCTCGGCTTATGCAAAATAAAAACAGGAGTTTATCAGGTAGTTATTTTCTTTATCACTTTCTTTCTCTAAATGGAAAACCTCATGTGTACCATAATAACACATGGAATGCATATTCATTATTGGAACAACTGAAGCACTTCAACTTTCATGATTGACACGTCGATACCGTGCCTTCTTCAGAGCCAAGGCTGCGGTCCACGAGATTTAAAAAACAGATAATCTGGAGTCTGTTGAATTTGAAATGTTGCAACTATGACTGACGAACTGCAACTTCCTCATGGCTTTGCCATATCGCTGGCGAAGACAAAGAGATGATTATTCTTAGGCTCATCAAAATCAATAGTTTTCGGTTGTATTGAATCATATGTACCAAAAAGTAAAGTTTATATATAAACTAAGTAATCCGAATGGGCTCTTTTGTCAAGATGAAAATTTTTTTATGTTACTTTTTTTTTTTAAATAAGTGAAAGTTTAACCAGTTTACTCACATTAATTACTTCATATTTTAGTCAAAAGAAATGATTTCTGTTTTCTGAATGCAAAATTCCCAAACAATTACACCTGTGTAGTTGTTCGATTCTCTAAAGCTCAGGTAATGCGTGAAGCAACTGCTGGGTAATGTCAGATTTGTGAAGAACCTCACTGACGCATTTAAAGCCTCATCAAAGGTTTCCTCATCTCATGTCACATCCTGTTCTAATTTTACTTCCTCTCTTCTTCCACCCAACAGTTAGGCTTCTACAGTGGGACCTTGTTCGTGACCTTCATGAGCGTGGACCGCTACCTGGCCATCGTCCATGCCGTGGCAGCCATTCGAGCCCGGACACGTCGCTACGGCATCACAGCCAGCATCATTATTTGGGCGATATCTGTCACTATGGCAACCCCTCGGGTAGTATTTGCCTCCTTGGAGTCTGATGATAACGTCTCAGAGTGCCAGCCCATCTACCCAGAAGACACAAAGCATTTCTGGAAGTTGCAGCGCAACTTCAGTGAGAACACAGTGGGCCTTTTTCTGTGCCTTCCCATCATGATTTTCTGCTATGTGAAAATCCTCATTGTGCTGTCAAAGTCCAGGAACTCTAATAGGAACAAGGCTGTGAAGCTGATTTTCATCATTGTGTGTGTGTTTGTGGTGTGCTGGGTTCCCTATAATGTTGCAGTTTTTTTCGAAACACTGGAGGTGTTTGACATAAACCTGGGACCCAACCCCTGTGTGAGTTCAATAGCCCTCAACACTGCCATGAGCATTGCTGAGATTATCGCGCTGTCCCACTGCTGTGTAAATCCAGTGATCTACGCATTTGTAGGAGAGAAGTTTAGGAAGTCATTGAACAAGGTGATGGCTAAATACTTTGGTTGGAGTTACCCAAGCAGTGGTCCTTACAGCCACAGAGATACCACAGACAAAGAAACCTCCAACACACCTGTAAGATCAGAGTATTAAAAATGGGTTATGTGCTTTGCTGATGGGTGTAACTGTTTCCGCAGCACTGGATTTTTTTTTTTTATTTGAAACTGAGAGACTACAAAGATCACAAATTGTGTGTGTGTGTGTGTGTGCGTGTGTGTGTGTGTGTGAGCGCACGTGTGTGTGAACGCATGTCTGTGGTTAGTACTTCTGAGTGGTGTAAAACAATTCTCAAAACCAATTTGCAGTTACAAGCATTCAGTTTTGAAACTGCTTAAAACAAAACACATGCATCAAAACATAAATGTCGTGTTTATTCACAGTTTGTAACACAATCTTATTTTTGAAAAAATAAAATTATTGAACAAAAAAAACCCTTTCGTCATTCTTCTTTCCTTTTACAGTAAGAGGAAAAAAGTCTCTGAAGTGTGTTAAAGGGTGTTACCAACAGTGTGTTTTTGCAGGGTAAGATAGACGCATAGCAGCCCTTTATGATGGAAGTGGCAAAACCACTTTCACTGCTGTAATTCCTGTCAGAAGGTTATTATTATTTGAAAAGAAGTGTTCAGATCTGAGTTCATGTGTCATCTAACAACAACATGTCTGAGTAACACAAGGCATTGTTGGGGCCTACGAGGTGAATTTAAATGTTGCACAACAATATTAAGATCTGGTAAACACACAAGTCACACAGAAGGTTTTCTCTTTTAATTTTAGTCAGAAGTCTACCCCTAACTCAAAGAAAGAAATGCATTTAGCAGACACGATGCTATTCTGAAACCATTGTCTGTACAGGGTGCACTGCTGGCTGTGGCGGTAGTATCACTTCTGTCAGGCAAAAAAAACAAAAAACCCACATGCAAGCCTCCAGCTGTGTGCGCCTGCAGGTCTGGTCAGAGTCACCTTGCATATTTAAAAGTTTGCATATATGGACTTGTGGTTCTATAGCTGCACAGACTGTGGGCTTTTGCACTGCGTGTTTCGAAAACAGTCTCAGGAAACTATTAAACCATACATCTCACATCGGAACCCGCAAGCCCACCCAGTTAACTTGGTTTTGAGGAAGGTTGTACTTTTAAAAAAAAAAGCAACACCTTCAATTTTTTTTCATGTGTGTGCAAACCATTTCTCACTTCACACATCTTAATGCAAAGTGGATAACTTGTTTGATTAGACAAGCCATCTCTCTATCCTGCGATCCACAATGAATTCCACCATCAGCACCATGGAAAGGTAAAAATATTTTTCCCACTTTATATGCAGAATGATTCAGGCTAACATGTCAGCAGTATTGCTGCACGCCTTTACAGTTCTGCAAGTGGGAAGAAAACAATGACGCACACTTATTTATCTTCAGCCTGTAACAATTGAAATGTTTTTTTTCTTTAATGGAAAGCATCTATAATCATAACTAAATGGACAAAAGTATAAAGCAAAAAGAGGAAGGTCAGTGTAATGACTGTCATTTCTCATTAAAAGTTCAATTATAATGCTCAAAATGTTTTGGATTTAGCTCATTGATCCATATCTTAGACGCAAGATCTTTATCAGTTCATCTTTTACCTGTTGTGGCACAGGGCAATCTGAGTGAATAGTGAACTGGGGCACAGTGAGGAATGTGTTATCTATGCATTATTTAATTAATGACAGTAATTAAATAATGCTTTTTTTCTTTTTTTCTTTTTGTAAGTGATCATAGAGACAAGCACCGAGGTGCATTTTCTGTATCTGTCTATCTGCTGACAGTGACAGGGCATTTTCTCTTTTGCATGTGTTAAATTTAGGTCAGTGGGAGAGGAAATTACATCCTCATCTCATTCGTAACACTTTTGAATATAAAATGCAATATGCTTTGATAATATCCAAGTTATCCAAGTAGTTTTCTACTTTTTTTTTTTTGCCTTGTTTTGTTTATTTGTCTTTTTGTGTGTGTTTTTTTAAATTAATGGAATGTGTTAAAAAAAACTTATCTTAATTCTTGAAAAACAGTAGTAGCTATCATCAATCGTCAATTAGACTGACGCTAATCACAAAGCATTTTAAATACAGTGCAGCGCACTAACTGCAAAGTCCTCACAATTCAAGACAGTTATTTTTTCAGTCTTAAGTAAATAAACCACTTACAATGGAGATGTCTTCTTCTGTGGCCAGCATGCAGGATTTTTACTTTATAGTCTATACCTTATTTGGCTTCCTTTTTTAATACTTTAATGTTTAAAGTGATCTTGAGTTCCATGAAAGATATCAAATACAGCTAAGCTATTATTATTATCAGCATTATAATATTGTGTAAACAAGCTGCCGATACTTATTGCTGACTGATGTACACAAATCCTATGCCAACTCAGGTTCTGATAGTAATCATGACATAATCAACTTTAGGGGGATATTCTCCTCTAACATTACTTTTCATAGATTTATTTATTTGTAGTATTTTGTTTTTTGCACGCAGCTGCTGAAAATGTGTTATAGGCACATCACTGAAGAAGCTACAACAGTCAGTGTGCTGCTGTAACAGATCCTTTATTAGATTAAATTTACCAAAATTTGAATCAAAAGTGGAGAGGTAGAGGGAAGAGATGACAAAACCACTGCTGGGGAAGCCTACCACAGACTGATGCAGCGCACTGATTCTAATCCACCTGTGTGAAATGTAATAAACCAAAAGTGCTATGAAGTTAAAAGGGCATACAAAAGAAATCTGTTGCCACAAACCATAGCAGGAGCAAAAGTGGGTCACCCTCCCCTCAATACATGGAATGACCACAAGCATGTAAGTCATCAGCAACTAGAAGCAGTGAGATCTTTAAAAAATGTTGCAAGTATGTAAAACTTATTTATATAGCACTTTATAAAACATGTAACCAGTCACAAAGTTTCATATCATTTCATAATGAAGCAGTTAAAGATTAAAGAGCATTAGATCGATTGGTAAAATAATCCCAAAATTAACAGCAATCAGTTCTCAAATTAGTTCCGATTGCGCACGGAGCAGATTTGAGTTGGCTAGCTATAGACGTGTAGTGTTTTTCCACACTCCTCTGTACAACCTCGCTTCAATTCATTGTGATATTCAGGAATTTGTTCATGCACACCTCTCAAGGGCCAGCCACAGAATTTCAATCAGCCTAAAGTCTGGACTTGATCCTCTTCTTTTTCAGCCATTCTTTTGTGTTAGGGATCACTGTCACTGTCATCATTGATCAAACTGGGTCAGGCTTAAGCTGTCAGACAGGTGGCATTTGACATTTGATTCTAGAGTATTTTGGTATACACAAGAGAGCATGGTTGACTTAATGATTGCAAGGTGCACAGATCCTGTGGCTGCAAAAAACCCCTATATCCTCGCCTTTCCTCACCATCGTGTTTGACACTTGGTATGTGGTTTTTGTACTGACATGCTGTGCTTGGTTTTCACTGAACGTAGAGCATGTTTGGCTTCATGGCCAATCATCTCCACTTTGGATATCTTACTTTATCGGATTATTCATGTGATGTTTATTTCCACTTCTGCACCATAATGGGCCTTCTAATTTATCCCATTTCTTTGAACACTTTTGTTACTTATATTTTTGCAGATCCACTCATATACAAAGAAGTTGCCTAATAAATGTAATTCAAAAATATGATCTATATTATGACGACTTCACGTCAAGAATTGGCCCAATAAAGCCCCTGTGCCCCCCTCAGCTGAATTCTGTGAATATATGTCAACTATAAGTTACACTGATTTATACAGATAAATGAACTTGCAGATAAGCTTGCAAGCTGGGTTTAATTATTAGGTTAACAGCAGTATAGAATCATTAACATTTGGTTAACCACAAATACTTCTGCTGCGATCGAGGTAAGCAGCATGCCTGTGAGGCACAGCGTTGAGAGGTAACCCTCATATATATTTGAAACTAAAATCAGGTCACTCATCAGTATGTGTGGTCAGTTTTAAAGCACAACCCCACTCAAAACCTTCAAAACAAACAGAACTGCGTTGAAAATAAATGCGTGCTCACAGTCAGCTCTCCCACTGTGTGTGGCGGTGCGTCTGCTTTCAAACACATGTATTTTCCCACTTTTGTATCTGTGGCTACATTCCTCTATGACATTATCATGCGTGTACGGGTGCATTTATGCAGGGTATGTGTGAGTGCAATCACATTTTGTATTCTAATTCATGTAATAGCAAAGTGAATTGAGCCAAATCCCCCCATCAAAGCTGCTTGCCCATCCAGTTCACATGGCCTGGTGCTGAACCTGTCCCTGTGTGTGCATATACTTACACGCACATTTAATTTGCCCAGATTTAACTCAGTTTAAGATTTAACATTTGAATTATGTATCAAAATTGCATGGAACATTTACATGCAATTTAATGATTAAACTAATTTACATCCTTTTTTACCATATAAGTAGGGCTGATTTTTTGCTAACGAGTGAAAACTAGAGATTTATTTCACTCCTTTACAGTAGAGTTAAAATACAGTATCCCCACCCCTGCCACTTTAGGAGGTAGGACGGGATTTCAGTTCTTTGGCTTCTTTCTTTTTCTTTTTTAAAGCAGCTGATCATGGACGAGACCACCGAAACTGACTTTACTTTCAGTTTGAATCTTACTGAATCTTCACTTTTCCAAGGGTAAGATCAGCTATAACAAACATCTATCGGCATTTTCTTCATTTATTGCTCATCGTGAGACTATTTTAAGCTTTTTAATATCATTACTATCCACTCCCACGTCTTTTTGAATCTTCGCGGTTTTCACCTTCCTTTCATTTTTCCTTCCAGGCGACGCATTCCTAGTTATTGTTTTAGCGTTGGCCTGCGTTTAGACAGTTTGTGTCACTTTCTCATGAACTGCGAGGGATTCAAAATCTTCAAGCACTTCGTCATTTGTCGCCAAATACTTGTGATTTGCTCGCTTGTAAACAATCGCCAGCTGTTTGTTTTCACAGTTGCTGGCCCCCTGCCCTTCCTTCCAACAGAGCAGCAGCAGTCACAGACGGTCTGTCTCGTAGGAAGTTTAAAAAAGAAGCCTGATAAAGCTTACCTCACTGCCACGCGAGCTCGTGCAGTGGCTCTCTTACTTTGCTATAGTTCTTCTCTGCACCAAAACAACCGTGCTGCTTCACTAACCGCTTATTTTATTTACAACCGCAGCACTTCATAATAAAATTTGACTTCCTGCTGAGCTGTAAGACTGAAATTCAACTGAACTAAATAAACAGAATGTTAAGAATATTCTTTAGATTATATATATATCATAAAATAAATGTTAATTGTACTTACAGATTGAAAAACTGTGGTCACACAGTGTCCGATTGCCTGCGTTTAAGGCATTTTAAGATGGTTGCAAAACCTGATGAACGCATTGAGAAACTCTTTGATAGAAGGACTTTGGCTGGCTGACACCATATTATAAATTGATTACATTCAGTTAAATTCATTTTTATTTGTGTACGTCCAAATCTCAGCAAGGTGCCTCAAGGTGTTTTATTTTGTAAGTTAAAGCTTCTATAATAAATACATAACACGATAAATTATCAAATGTAATCTTAGTTTCATCATTGTATATATTGGTTTTGCACTATACTCTCATTTAGTTAAAATGTTGCTATTAATTAATTATTGTATTCTGTATGCTGTGCAATGTCACAGCTGTGGTGCTGCTATTCAGATGACACAGATGAAAGTATCTATCGGTACTATCACACACAAACTTACACGTTCTCAGCGGCTTCACTTTAAATGTATCAGTGCATTTAAAGTGAAGAAAATCTCCTCAGTGCTCCTGTTAATGAACTTTTACCTGAGCAGCTGACCGCTAAACAACTTCTTTATCCCCTGCTTTGATTTAGCTGATCCCAGTATTCTGATAAATACGCTGCTTTATATAAATTGTTTCTGTTTAGACTTCCAACATTTTGAACAGCTTTGGTCAAGGTCAGACATAGTACCAAAACCGCTGATCATGTGAGTGACTGGTTTTGAAAGTTCCTCGTGCCAGTCCTGAAAGTGAAGAAATGCTTTCCGATACTGTTTAAATGAGCTGCCACACAGTTTGAAGCCTGCAGATCATCGCTGAGTTAAACTGTTTAAAAATGTGTTGTTTTATATAGATGCATACTTTAATCTGTGATAGACAAAGTTGTTGAAAATAAGTAAGGCATAATGAGTAAATCTAATCATTTGTTTTTGTGCCTCTGTTTCTTTCCAGCTTCAGCATGCCTCCAACTGAAAATAGTCCTGCATATAGTTCTGAATATACTACTTACTATTATGAATATGACCCCGCCATGTTCGATGGATTTCAACCATGCGTATATACGCGACACGGAGCAACTTTTCTTCCTGCCATCTACATCATTTTCTTCCTGCTGGGCGTTCTGGGTAACTCTCTGGTTTTCTGGGTCATTACTTGTGGAGCGCGACTCCGCACCATGACCGACGTGTGCTTGTTAAACTTGGCCATTGCTGACCTCCTTTTGGTGTGTTGCCTGCCCTTCCTAGCCCACCAAGCCTGGGACCAGTGGGTGTTTGGGGATGCTATGTGCAAAATAGTCTTGGGCATTTATCATATCGTCTTTTACTGTGGGATATTTTTTATCACTCTAATGAGCATTGATCGGTACTTGGCTATAGTGCATGCTGTTTGTGCTATGAGAGCACGTACACGCTCCTTTGCAATGATTGCAGCTGCTGTTACATGGGGAGCGGGATTTCTGGCTTCTTTTCCTGACCTGATCTTCCTCCAAGAGCAAAGAAATGTGTCGGGACAGCACACTTGCTATCCTGGATTTCCAGAAGTGACTTCCAGTCTTCATTTTTGGCAGGTCTTCAGCATTGCTAAAATGAACATTGTAGGCCTGCTCATTCCGATCATCATTCTGGTTTTCTGCTACTCACAGATCATCTGGAGGTTACTGAACAGCCAGTCATCCAAGAAACAAGCTATCCGCCTTGTTGTCATAGTGGTAGCTATTTTCTTCTGTTGCTGGATTCCCTACAACATTGCGTCACTTGCCCGAGCACAGGAGCTAAAGCACCACGTGTTAGATTGTGGGCACAGCAAAGCCGTCAGACTGGCTTTACAAATCACAGAGGCCATTGCTTACTCTCACAGTTGCCTCAACCCCATCCTGTATGTGTTTGTCGGGGAGAAGTTCAGGAGGCACCTGTTGCGGATGATAAACAGATCTCCCTGCAGACTGTGCCAGCTGATCAAGGTCTTCATACCACAGGACAGAATTTCTACATCAGTCTACTCACAAACTACCAGCGTGGATGAGAGGAGCACTGCTATGTAGTGAACTAGGACAGTTGGGGGATGTGCTTCTTTTCATTTTTTCATGTCCAGTAAAAATAGATCACTGTGGCTTATTGTCACTCCTAGAGTGTTAAGGTTTGGCACTTGTGAATGTATGCATGTGACTGTATATTAATATAATGTACCACAGATATGTATTTTTACTCTGTTTTTGTACTTCTATGAGTTATGACCAAAATGTATGCAATTCCATTATAAATCTGATTTTGAATACTTTGATGTATCTTCACCTGGGACGATGAGTCACAGTTAGACTTGTTGCAGTTTGTTTTGCCGCTGGCTCTTTACTTAGCACGAAACTGTGTCAACTACAACATCTGTCAGCAGCTACGGCAACGTCATCCAGTTTAAGTGGGGAAACGCACCACCATGAAAAGTTACATGTCATAGTAGCCTACATTTTTATCCAAACACGATGACCCCCCTCACAGTTGTACCCGTTGCATCAGTCTGCGCACAGGAAATCGTGTTCAGTGCAACTTTGCAGATTCAGCAGTGTAGGTTGCCTAGCATCATTAGCAGAACATTTGCACTTTACCCAACACAGAGAAAACCACAACCTGAAAGAGGAAGCATGAAACCAAGCTGTTAGTTTAACCTTTGCAGTCTTTGTGCACATCCGAGCCGTTTGTTATCAAGTGACTTCATAGTTCTGCTGGTTTTTCTCGTGATATTAATCAGGATTGCAAGAAAGAAGTCCCTTTTTGCAAGAGTTTATCGATGGGCATGCAAACAGTTCCTCTTTCAGCTTCTTTGTTTCAATGCCTGGATGGATGACAAATTACAGGAAAAATCGCAAAAATTCCAGGCTGCATTTTACTGGATCCTCTTAGAGAAGGGGAGCTCTGAATCAATAGAAAGTTGTTCTCATATGAATTGATATCATTATTACTATTATGATATTATTACCCCCACCCCCCTTTTCCAGGAAAACAGTCATAAGGAGTCCCTGAATTGTCTGATAAAGCTTGGTTCTATCTTTTCACCTATAATTCCGCTGATGTTTTTTTTTTCCATCTTTGCTTCAGTTTCCAGTTTTTTGATAGTTTTTGTAACATAAACATTTCTGGTTTCTGTCAAATGGGTCCAGTCATTGGGGCCACAAGAATTCCGATTCGGTTTTTGGGATAATTTAAATGTTTGATCAGTCTTTGTGTTGTATTTTCTCATGCCTGTTTAAAAAAGGTGTTTGTAATCAGCTGACAATACAGAATAAAGGTGTTATATTTCTATGGTAAGTGCGGCATCCCTGTGACACGAATGAGTGTGTATGGTGAAAAGGTGTGACAGATCCAATCTAACCGCAGTTGCCTCTTTTCACTATTTTTACCTTTTGCTTTAAGTGCTTCCACAAAATAAGGAGTATCTGCACTGACTAACAAACCAACTTTGATATGCATGTTACTGTAGAGTAGAGAGGTGTTATTGTTCCTGTAATAAACTGTACGGTTCATCTGGTTTCGGTCAGTGAAGTTGTTTGCTTTACAGGCACTCACGTTTTTCATCTGATAAATTAGCCACACATTTATTGTAACTTCCTGGCGTCATCATTTTCTTTCGTTGATTTACATATATATTCAATTTTACTATATTTTGAAAAGAAGCATGCAGCTACCCATCATATACCTTTTTTTAAATCTAAAAAATCCTTTTTTTTTGTGCATTACACCATTGTCTATGTGGAGAGATATGAGCTAAAACATTATTTCTGTTAGTCTAGCAGAAAGTCGGAGTGGAGCACTGAGTCCATTCTTGGGAAACCCAGTTATGTCGACTCTTGAGGAAAGTGACAGAATACGCCCATCCCTTAATAACACAATCTGCTTCTGTTTTTTTTTTTAAAGAGCTTGCTCTTAAACTACTGAGAACACAGTGTACTGAGGAAGTGGAAACCCTAAACTGAGAGGAGGGGCAGGCTTGACCCTGATGTAGATTGATGATTACTGCTTCCTCAGAAAGTGTTAGGTGAAACCTGCCTTATTTAGACCGCTGACATTTAGTGTCTGCTGTTTAAGTCCCAAGACAATGGAGTTCTTAAGATGCTCAAAACAATGGCGAGCATCATCTTCATCATCATCATCATTATCATCATCAACATGTAGATTTCAAATGAAAAAATTCCAGCCCAGGAAGAGAACATCTGATGCAAAAAGAGTCAAAGTGAACGTGTTTATTTTCAGAAAGCACAAATTTGGTCTGAATCAAAAGCGTGCCAGGGAGAAACATTTGCTGTGCAAAAAGACGATTAGAAGAAAACTGCTCTTTGTCAGTGAAGATACTGGCACAAATTGGGGCTTTTTGTTCTGGGTGGATGAATCCAAAATTGCAGTTACTGACCTTCCTGAAAACCACTTTGACGTGTATCTACCATCAGGAAAAGCCCCTGTAAAACAAACTATATATACTGTGATCTAACTAAACGGGAGTGTAAGGAGTTAATGGATGTTACAGCATCCTACAGAGCTGTAAAGCATGATCTGAAGGTGCTGCACGGCTCTAAGCAGTTTTAGGGTTGGCACAAACATTTGGTTTCTGTGGTCAAAGAACTGCTGAGGCAGTACAGAAGCATCTCACCAGATAAGGCTGTTTAGGCAAGGAAACGGAAAAACAACCTGCAAGTAAACAGTCTGACAACTGTCTGCGATATAAAAACACAAAAGCTGAACAATTATTCCCACTGCAGTACTAATGAGAAAGAAGAAACAAGCAAACATAAAAAACATTATTAGCCCCCCCAAATAACCCAGGTTAGTAGAGCAGAGGACTGAAAGCGTGTCTTAAATGCATTCCAGATGTCAACAGCTGAACTACTTCTTGTTGTACACAAGTCTGGAGAATGCAGCGATAAAGCAGCAGCTCTGACAAGCTCTGGGGGAAAGTTTCACACTAACTACTCGGAAAATGCTTTCCCTGCAATGCTGAAATGATTAAAAGTGAAGTCTTCCTTTCACTCTATAACTCAACCGCTCACGTGGATTGACTCATGCCAGACTTCAGATACTGATCTGTGGGCTTAACTGATAAATGACTCGACTTTACTTCAGCTTGGCGCTCATGACTTGAAAAACTTGAAAAAGCTGTTGTTGTTGTTGCATTTGTGTTGCATCCATTTTTAATGTATTGACAAGTTATGTGTTCTTAACCCTGATTGGGTGAGTTCAAGTTATGATCTCCACCCTCCCCCGACACACTTGTGTGTGTGTCGGGGGAGGGGGGATCAAACTAAGATACACTTCTGGAGACCTCTAGTGTAAAAAGGTTCAGTGGCAGGTCTGCAGGTTTGCTGGCAGATTTTTATCAATGTGGAAGCATCACAGCCATGAAAGAAGTCCAAAGATTTGATGCCATCTATTAAAGACATCAAAATGAAAGTCAAATTCCAAAAACAGTGGACTTAGGGAGACTTTGTGATGTGTCATGTGTTTTCCCCTTATCGTCATGTTCTCACAGTACAGTTACAAAAAAGGACAAAGGGTCAAGTGAGAAAGATGGTAAACAGATATGTGAGAGTTGGGGCTGTGATGTCAGTACTTGTTCCTACTGGTTGCCACGCAGCGTGAAATACCAGTACGATATAACATATGATATAAAACTCATATTTTCACATTCGCCTGTTTTTGCTCTCACCACTTTAAATGTGGAAACTGGGCCAGCGAGTTTCATGTGAACTGCCTGGCCTGTAGCAGAGAGCGTGACTCAACTGCCCAATTCTCACTACATGGGAACCACCTCTGCTAAACACACAAAACTCTAGTGAACCTACAGAGGGAATTTACCCTCTGTAGGTTCAACAGTGTTTCAGCAGTGCATTGCACATTTAACCTTTTAATAACACACAGTTCTGTTATCTCCTTCAAACCCCTTTCAACACTACGTGCTGTTTCTGTTGTTCTTCTCCAGACTGCAGTACTTTCTGTTTCGAGCTTGGCCAATCAAATTTGCCGGTGGTTCTTTAATAACGTCTGTAAGTTGATGCTCTGCAGGTTGTTTTGCACACGATGTGTTCCGCTATCGGCACTTTCTTGAAACCAAGATCTCCGATGCCATCTAGTGGTCTCTTGTCTCCTGATTGTGGTTAGATAGTAGGAGTGTTCTTGTTTACAGGCTTGCAACTCGCGTCCCGTCCCGTTAGTGTGTGGGTCACAATCACGTCATTATTCTCCTCATCAGTGTGAACTTTCTAAGTATTTGATATCTCTTTCTCTGACTCACGTTTGCTTTTGGTTTTAAACTACAGCCAGACAGGACTCTCCCCATATGAGTGAATGCTGAATTCAGTGGGTGGAAAATGCCCAGAAGCAACAGTGGGTGAGAAGGCGCAAAACTGGGAAATATCGGGCTGTCAAGAAATGCGCATAATCGCATATTAGGTATTTGTGTCGAGTTAAACGTGTGGGCTTAAAGTAAAGCAGTACCCGAATAATTAAAATGAATAAACAACACAGTATTTGGTCACAGGTCAAATCAAGTTTGTAGAACAGAAAAAAAAACTGCGCTGGCGTGCATCACCTTCACACTTCACAGCTCTTGCGTGAGATTTTGATCACAAGATTTTGTGTAAAGATTGTAAAGATACCCCTTCTGTGGTTTCAGGCAAAAAAACAAAACAAAAACTGTTGCTAAGAAAGACGAAATAGATTTCACACCCGATAAGTGCACAGGCACCTTTCAGGCACTGGGTGAAAGCGCCGCTTTCAGAACAGAGACACAGGTGCGTCAGGTGAAGTAAATAACCTCGAATGGGGCTTAGATGACAAATAATCCAGGCTGATAACGCTCATAGATACCAGGGTTTAAAATGCTGCAAAAAATGTTCTCTAGCAGACCTCAGTGAGTAACTATTGTAGCGGACGTGGGTTGAGTGGGAGGTAAAATCGTGCGTTCTTTGTGCAGTGATGCAACACACACTGCTTGCACTGATTCAAAAACAGCAGCGGCATCTGCTCCGGACTGATAAGATCAGCAACAGTCCCCTTCCTGATACCTTCTCATAGTTTATCTCTCGAACTGATCTTCATCACAGTAATGACATTCGTTCACTATTACTGTACACGTATATTCCTCCTGATTTTAATATTCTCACTTTGCTTTTCATTGTTTCCCCGCAGTGCTTCCAAATGTCACTCTTCATATGAAAATAAAAAGTAAAGAAAAACGTGTCAAAGGTGTTACGCTATCGCAAACAATAATCCCCTCTAATGCAAAGCTTAACATGGCTGCTGTTAGTTGGGTTTCTTGTGTTTAATAATTTTAATGAATGACTGATTGCAGCCATGTGAATTAAGGGTTTTCCCCTGCTTTCTAATCATGCCGGGAATACAGATTTATCTCACCCTCCAGCCCTCAAAAGCTTATGGGAAATCATGAATGAATAATAATAACAGACATTCTCATGGGGGTGGAGATGAATGAATATATGCGCACAAAAGTTTCAGTAACGCTGACTGTGCCTTGTACGTTTAATGGCAAAATAACAGAGGACAAAATAAGTTATTTACAACACGTAGTAACATGTAAACACAATCTTCTGTACAAAGAAATATACATGCAAAAGTAAAAATAAGTCATACTAAGACATTCAAGATGACATTTCTGCAGTCTTGTTTTAGGTGTATTTAAAATATGACAGTTGTGAGGTTTACATCCCGGGTGTGGGCGAACTGCCCGACCCTTCTCTGTACATCTTTACATCGTGAGCAGGCGGGTTTCCCAAGAAACCGTTTCTCTTCGATCGTAACCTGACAAAGCGATGATCAGGATAGTTTCAGGGAAACCCTTATCCACATTAATAAATAAAAATGACACAAAATGAAAGACGGAGACTTTACAGACCAGAGAGACAAGTCAATAAACTCAACATGTTATCGACAGCAACTGACAACCTTCAAATAAAACGAGAAGCGACGCGAGTTTTTCATTTTTAACAACCTCTCGAACTTAATTCACTGGACTGGCACTTTAAAGAAGTTTTTAAGCAACTTTTTAACCTAAAGACGTCATCGTATTTAAATGAAAACAACTGGCAGACCTTTTTCACGGGAGATACCTGTTAATGCTAATCAGAAAAACTGTGGTTCAGGGGTTGTTATTATCTGCCAGAAGGTATAATTCTTTCATCAGTGCAGTCCATGGTGACTTTTTCACCCCAGATCTATTGCTTGGTGAAGATATAAACCAATACGGTCTAGCAACATACACTAGTATCTACCTACAAGAGCCAAACAAACTCACACGGCAAATAACTTTGTGCACGGCTTGAAAAAAAAAACAAAAAAGAAAAGAAATAATAATAAAAAAAGACAAGTCAATATAATTTTTTTCAGCAATGAACCACCAAACAATCTTCTTATTACAATAAGAATAAATAAAACCACAAGGAACCTTTGTAAACGCTCATATGCCTCTGCTCAGTGTGGTCTGTTATAACTCAACATGACAAGTCATTAAAAAAGCAAACAAACATATTAGCAGGAGAACAAAGCAGAGCCAACTTTGGTATTGTTACAAAAAAAACAAAAGCGAAACAAGGACGACATAAAAGCATAAGTGCCTATATTTCATAGATACACATTTTTATACATTATTTTGGAAAAACTCTCCTTTTGTTGCAGGGTTGTTGTTGTTGTTGTTGTTTTTTTTTTTGTTTGTTTTTTTTGCAGGATATTAATACTGAACTTAATACATAAGAGTTAACACAATACATACATCTATTGCAGTACCAGGTACGTACATGCCTTTTTAAGAATACGGCTACAACACAAGTTTTCATAAATAGTTGCATAAATGTTAAAGCTGCGACATTGCACGTGGGAACCTAGTAGCAGTTTGATCCGTCCGTCCGCAGGGACTCACTAAAACTCAGCAGATGGAATCGTTTTTGTTCGTCGAGAGATAAATCCGTCAAAATGAGAACGAAAAGCGGGAAAAACGTTATTTACATATAAGGCGGATGCAGGTAAAAATCTGAGAAGCTCTATCGGGATATTCTTTTTTGCTGAGTTGTTTTAATGCTTTGTTCAAGTTAGTTTCTCTTAGTGTCACAAACAGAAGTGATTTAACCTTTGAAACTGAAGCGGGGGAGAGTTAAGAAAAGCAAACTATTGCACTGAATGTAAGTTTCTGCAAAACGTGGTTTTGGTAGTTACATCTTGTTCCAGAATAAGAGGACCCTGCTGATGGGTGCCACTTCACCACGCAAATCTCACTTCCCTTTTTTTTTTTTTTTCGTTTTTTACTTTTTCTACTCGCCAACTACCCTTTGTTTTCCAAAAGGTTATGAATAAAGACAGTTCTCCATCTCCTCGCTGTACATTTTGTTTCATTTACAAAAAGTAATCTCTCGTTACAAAAAAACATTTTCTTGTGTTCAACCGAAAGCAGCCTGAAATATTCCTATTGTACAGTATTCTTCTTTTTTTTTTTTCTTTGTTTAACACTGTCCGAAACGCAAGACTCGCTCACGCTGGCTTGTTGAGAAAGCTTGGTTTTCTCCCTGCTGAGTCAAGGTTTTGAAATCTCAAATGGATTCCAAGAGTTCGCTTGTTGTGCAGGCATAGTGACGGTATGCCAGGTTTAAGGAGGGGAAGGGCTTGGGGGTTCGAAGGGTTTAATCGGCAGAGGTTAGTCAGTCGGCAGCAGCAGCAGCAGCAGCAGGACTTTTGTGGCTTCGTGAGGGAAAAGGGGATTGTAGCAGGCGTGTCGCTGGTGGTGCTCTCAGTAGGCTTCTAACAAGGATCAAGTGAATGAAGAGCAGTAGTGGAAGAAATTCCTTCTGGTCGTGTTTACCTGGTGACCTACTGTCAGGTCTGGCTGAGCAGGCGGCTGTGAAGGAAGGCCTTAATGGTGCCTATGGGCCGGACATCATTCTGGTGTTTCCGTCTCTCGATGAAAGAAATGAGCCTGGATGTGTCCAGATGTGTGCCGCAATGATTCCGAGATGGTGACAGTGCTGGTGGCTGTGTGGGATTTAAGGTTGAGTCACTGCTTGATAAACCTCGAGGCTGGAGCCAGGGCTCCTCCAGGCAGGACGCAGCAGGGGGCCGTCGCTCTGGCTCGCCCCGGAGCAGCAGGCAGATGAAGTCTCTGGCAGCTGGGCTCACACCCTGGAAGTAATCCTCAGGGAAGCTAAAGTCCAGGCGACAGATGTTCAGACACGTCTCCTCAAGGCTCTCGTCCAGGAATGGAGAGGCGCCGCTCAGAACCACATAGGTCACCACCCCTGTAAATCAACCAGTTGGTCAATCAACAGGTTATTTAGCCAAATTAAATTAATTCATTCAGCTCACTTTTAAATCCCCTTTTATAATTAATATAGCTTTATATTAAACAATCATGCACAAAAGCAGCTTCTGCAGCTGCTAAAATATTATAGCACCAAGACTACAACAATAACAATCCTCTGTTAGATCATTTGCCTGCTTGTTGAGGCTTTCACTGCACAAAAAAGCCTATAAATGCCATATAAACAAAACTGAACTGAATCATTCATTTTACACTGCACTCCCTTACGCTGTACTAATATATACATTTTTCTGATGAAACTCATCATCTACATACATAGCAGTAAAATATCACTTGAAGCTTCTAAATATTGAAGTCAGTTAATAGATTGCTGCGCGGTTGGCAAGTAGAAATTGCGACTGGGGATTTAAAGCACTGATCTTTGCATCCCCAGAGAGGCTGACTGACTGCACTGCAGAGGAAACACTTGTGTTAACGCACCTGGCTTAGAGATTGAGATGATAGTATCGCATGGGAGTATTTCTGTCTATTTTTGTGTCTTAGTCAAATATCAAAAAGCAGCCTTTTGCACATACTGACAAATAAGAACAAAGGAATGTGTATTTAATACTATTACAGTGGGTTTCTGCTGCTGTGATTGTGTATTCGAGTACATAAAGGGTTCTCTAATGCAAAAATCAGCAAGATACAATTTCTCTACAGACCTAAGCTCCAGAGGTCAGACGTCAGTGAGACGGGCTGACCCAGGATCAGTTCAGGAGCAGAGAACTCTGGGCTTCCCAGAAGAGGATGGATGTAAGAGGAGGGGGGGTTCAGTTGAACAGCATCACCAAAGTCTGTCAGCTTGATCACTGGCTGGGAGGACGCATGTTCCACCACAATGTTTTCAGGCTGTAGGAGCAGGATAGGAGGATATAGGACACAATCATCAGACCTAGAGAAGCACAACAGCAGTGCAACAGCTTCCCCAAAATAAGATTTCGATTGTAATGCTTTGTTTGTTGAACTGTTTACTTTGAGGTCAAGATGTGCTATCCTCCAGCTGTGCAGGTAATGGAGAGCTTCAAGAATATCTCTGAGGTATAAAGCAACTTTCTCCTCCGTCAGGTTGCCCCAGCTCACGATGTAGTCCAGGAATCGCCCCTGGTCTGCCCTGATAACACACACAAAACATGCATTTTATTTATTTCTTTTTTTTAGAGACAAATCTAAGTATGTTTTTCAAACAGATCAGATGTCACAGTCGTTTTACTTACATCTCTAGTACCAGTACGTAGCTGCTGGCTGTCTCATACGTGTCTAGCAGCTTGACCAGATTGGGATGGTCTAGATTCTGGAGGAGTCTGATCTCCTGCAGGACCTGTTCTCGACGCAACAGCTTCTTGTTAACATGCTTTGCTGCAACTGTGCGTTTACTCCCTCTCTGGTCGCATCGCTTAGTCACCGAGAACCGACCCCTGCAAGGCAAAAATTAGTAGTTAGGAATAAGACATTTCATTTGTGACTCACTTTTTAAAAATATCCTACATCAAATTTATAAACTATAACGCCCAATCATGACTGGTGGACTTGGATGTATAATGTCAATCTACTTCTTTGTTGATTATCTATATCAGCTTGTCCAATGTACAACCTCATTTCCAAAAAAGCTTGTGACACTTTCTGAAAATGTCGTTTCTCATTGCTTAGTAAAGTTTGAACTTGTATTTGTGAATGCAGTCACAAATTGTGTTAAATGATTTGAATATTGCTGCATTCTCTAACCAGCTACTGAGGAATAAGCAACTCATTCCTCATTTAAATACCTTCACTTGTATCATCTGTCGCTACTGCTATTACTACTACTACTATATATATGAGTGCTGCTCCTAATTTATTAGCTTTGATGTGGTCGAGAAGCACTGCGTGACACGAAAACACACCTTCCTAGTTCAGTAATTTCTGTGTACTGGGACTCAAAGCCGTTTTTCCAGAGGAGTTCGCTGCCATCATCAGGGGTTCCTGAGACAACACAGTGAATTCACAATGATTCAAGTATCAAATTTAAAAATTATAAAATCAATGTTTTAAATGTTTC